ACATGTCTAGGTTATGTTTCACCTCAAAATCAAAGGGAAAAAATGAAATATTTAAATATTTAAAATTGTAATATTTAAATTTAAAAATATTTTTTAGAATTTTATTTGTCTGATTATATTAATATGTTGCATTAACCAATATAATAGGTTTAAAAAAATAATGAACTTCTCTTTTCAATTCCATATAATTCCTATTTCTATCAATGGCAGTAGATTCTCATTATTGTAATCATTTAAAATAATTAAATAAGTAAAGAAATATAAGCATAAATTAAATGCAGTATAATTAACACTACTGTTTTGTATAAATATATGTAAATATACATAAGTTCAATCATATGAATAAAGAAATAACATTTTTGTATTTCGAAGTAAAATATGTAACATTTATAATAATTATGTAATATGTATTATGTATTTTTATAATATACTCTTATACTATTTTTTGCATTATAACAAGAATGAGTTTTTTGTTTTGCATTATAATAATGAGAATAGATTTTGATCTTGGGGTGAAATATGAGCTGCTCGTGTTCATGAAAGGTTTTCCCCAGATTCGCCTGTATGTTTTCATAAATAAAATGTTCACTTCCAATCATTTATTTGCTAAATTGCCGGCTGCATTTGTCATGAGAATCAACATTTTTTTTAATGTTCTCTTTTCTTTTGTAGAGACGTATGGCAGATTTAGAGGACTGTTCGCAGAAACCCTGAGGCTAAAAATCTCAATAGCATCTACTGGCACAGAAACTGCACTCTGACAAATTTCTGGATAGAAGACGCATGAATTATTATAAAGCTGTTGGTGCTTTGCACAGATGTGTTTAAAACCTGCCTCCAGCTAAACTCCTTTGCTCAATATCTTGATCCTCATTTTCTCCATTATCAGATGGAAAACCAATCTACCTCTCATAATCCCAAAATCCCTTCCAGTGTTTAAACATATGAAATTGTACGCATAGCTAAAATCTGATGTGAAATCAACATGACTGCTTTCCACGAATCCGCGCTCACTTGCAAATTACATATGCACAAAGCTCTGAATCATCAGTCTAAATGAGTTCTCGCCTGGTGCGGCGCGAGAATGAATGAAGTTAATTACTTGGGAAACAGGGAAGAGAGAGAGGCTTCCACTATTGTTCAGAAACAATGAGCTCATTTGGTGTGTTTTGGTAAACCGTGAACTCGACATGGCAAACACAAATTCTCTGTGATGCAGCGACATGCTGACAACAACGGTTCATTTTAGCTCGAAGCACTTTCATGTAAATTGAGATTTTGAGATAATCAATCTTAACCTCACATCGCACTCGTCAGATGCTTGATAAGAAAGTGGCAACAGCGATTGTAGTGAGATTGTGTCAGACGAATTCATTTGCTTATTTGTGTCCTTTTTTAAAGGTCAGGTGTTTAATATCTGCACCACTAGTGGCACTGAATAACATTTTCAAAAATATGGTTGCTAGGGTGTTGCTTTGAAGTTGCTAAGGTATTCCAAGTATTTTAGTGGGTTTGTATGCGGTTGCTAGGGTGTTCTGAAAGGTTGTCAGAGTGTTGCTATGTAGTTGCTAAGAGTTTCTGAGTAGTGTTTGCATGTTTGTTTGTGGTTGCTAGGGTGTTGCTTTAAAGTTGCTAAGGTATTCCAAGTATTTTAGTGGGTTTGTATGCATTTGATAGGGTGTTCTGTAAAGTTGTCAGGGTGTTGCTATGTAGTTGCTAAGAGGTTCTGAGTAGTGTAAAACGTTTGTGTGTGGTAGTCAGGACGTTCCTATGCAGTTGCTAAATTGTTTTGAGTAGTAGTCTGTTTGTGGTTGCTAGGGTGTTGCTAAGGCTTTCTGACTGGTCTAGTGTGTTTTTATGCATTTGCTAGGGTGTTCTGTGAGGTTGTCAAGGTGTTGCTATGCAGTTACTAAGGAATTTTAAAGGTGCAGTAAGCGATTTCTGAGAAACACTGTTGATATTTGAAATCACCAAAACAAACACACCCCTATCTTGATAGCCCCGCCCCCAAATTCACTAACATGCAATGCAACCATAAGCGCCGATTTCTTTTTTCGGCACACCGATAGCCCCAGTTCTTCAGTTACAGAAACGGAGCTATACATTCACATGAAACATACTGACATCTTCAACGGGCAGCCTAATAAAAATATTCTGAACGCTCAGCATGTTCACCTACGGTTTGGTTAGAAACACATGCACCTTTTCATTTTTTATATTCATCTCTGCATGAACAAATAATGACTTAAACATAATATTCTCACTTAACAATGAGCTAAAATAGAACAAATAATTAAACTGCTCCAGATTCTCAAAACGGACACAAGACACAAGTTACAAACACGGACACAACCTAGACACAAAAAATTATATGAAACATATTGACAGCTTCTAAGAAAAATATTATGTATACTAAGCTTTAAATTACAATTGAAAAGCATACTTTTTTAAATCCAGCTCTACATAAAAAAATAACACAACATTTTGACATTCTTACTTAACGATTAGTTAAAATCCAACAAATAATTCCCATTTCACCCAATCTTCAGTTACAAAAAACGGAGCTAAATCACAAGAAATTAATATAAAGCATATCGACAGCTTCTATACGAAATATTATGCACGCACACACTAAGCTATAACTTCAAATTAATGGTGCATATCTGGCGTTTTTTTCATGGGTGCTCGGTTATTTCAGCGCCTATGCATGCAACACAGGCACCTCCCTCATCATGAGTGGACACGCCCCTTGCTAGTGATTGGCTACAAGCGTGATTTGGTGCTCGGTCCGATCCACTTTCAACAGCTTTTCTCAGAAATCGTTTACTGCACCTTTAAGTAATTTTTAGAATATTTGTATGCACTTGCTCGGGTGCACTGTGAGGTTGCCAGGGTGTTGCTATGCTGTTGCTAAGATATTCTAAGTGGTATAGCATGTTTGTTTGTGTTTGCTAGGTTGTTGCTAAGGTATTCTACGTAGTTTAGTGGGTTTGTATGCATTTGCTACAGTGTTCTGTGAGGTTGTCAGGGCATTGCCATGCAGTTGCTAAGATATTCTGAGTAGTATAACATGTTTGTTTTTGGTTGCTAGGGTGTTGCTTTGAAGTTGCTATGGTATTCCATGTATTTTAGTGGGTTTGTATGCGGTTGCTAGGGTGTTCTGCAAGGTTGTCAGGGTGTTGCTATGTAGTTGCTAAGAGTTTCTGAGTAGTATTTGCATGTTTGTTTGTGGTTGCTAGGGTGTTGCTTTAAAGTTGCTAAGGTATTCCAAGTATTTTAGTGGGTTTGTATGCATTTGATAGGGTGTTCTGTAAAGTTGTCAGGGTGTTGCTATGTAGTTGCTAAGAGGTTCTGAGTAGTGTAAACCGTTTGTGTGTAGTAGTCAGGACGTTCCTATGCAGTTGCTAAATTGTTTTGAGTAGTAGTCTGTTTGTTTGTGGTTGCTAGGGTGTTGCTAAGGTTTTCTGACTGGTTTAGTGTGTTTGTATGTGTTTGCTAGGGTGTTCTGTGAGGTTGTCAATGTGTTGCTGTGCAGTTACTAAGTGGTATAGCATGTTTGTTTGTGTTTGCTAGGGTGTTGCTAAGGTATTCTGCATAGTTTAGTGGGTCTGTATGCATTTGCTACAGTGTTCTGTGAGGTTGTCAGGGTATTGCCATGCAGTTGCTAAGATATTCTGAGTAGTATAAAATGTTTGTTTTTGGTTGCTAGGGTGTTGCTGTGAAGTTGCTAAGGTATTCTGAGTAGTTTAGTGCTTGTAAGGTTGTCATTTTTAGAATGTGTTCTCTGTAGACTAATGTGCTTGTATGCAGTTGCTAGGGTGTTGCTAGGCAATTGCTAAGGTGTTCTGAATAGTTTGTGTTTGTATGTGATTATTAGTCCGTTTTTTTGAATGAAAACTTATGAATGGCTTACTTGTAATCTGTGTACATTTAACTGGGATCGGAAAACCTGTTTTAACACTGAACAAATGAATCACATCATCTTTCAGTTGCGTCAGATGTTCTATATCTTCAGCTTTTCTGTTTGCCTTTAATTATCCTGCTTTTATTCATCATTCTCCTGCAGAAACGTCTCAGAACCCACAGGGATAAAGCAGGCAGAATGTAGCTGTAGTATTTTGTGTGCTGTCGAGGTTGAGCTTGTTTCCTGAGCAGTGAGCGGGAGACAGTCCTTGTTGAAGCCCTAGAGCCTGAAGATCTCCCACTCATTAGTGTCACAGCAGGGTCAGGAAACCATGACTGAACTCATCACTTTTGCCAGTGTCTCTCGCTGCATCACTGTCAAAGCACCGTCAGGACCATCAGATTTAGGCAGCTATTATCTACAAAAGGGATGAAGCCTGTTCTTTAAATTGCTGTTAGTTAATTGGATTTTCTTACAGTGAAAGTGTGTCGACATCAACCACGTGTCAACATTTTTTCTTGCTTTGAATATGTGAGGAATTGCGATCAGCATATCATCTAAGTTGATTAGGGATCAGGAAGATGCATTTATTTGTTCAGAAATACAGTAAAAACAGTAATACTGTAAAATATTAAGTACAATTTAAAATGGCTCTTTAATATTTGAAAATATTTGAAAATGTAATTCATTTCTGTGATCAAAGCTGAATTTTCAGCATCATTACTCCAGTCTTCAGTGTCACATGATCCTTCAGAAATCATTCTAATATGCTGATTTGTTCATAATATATTATTATTATATTATGTTGAAAACAGTTGTGATGCTTCATAATTTTGTGGAAACCATGATACATTTTTTCAGGTTTCATTTGAAATAGAAATCCCTTTTAACATTATAAATGTGTTAAAGTATTAATTTCTATAAAAATTTTTTAAAAATCCAACCCCAAACTTTTGAATAGTATACAGTATATATGATTACCATATAAATACCATTGGATATTAATTATATAAAAATATCATTTCAGATATTATACTATTACTTTTTTGGTATTTTTATATTTATTATTTTTTTTTTATGGTTTGTCTACCCACAGATTTACACAAGATATGGGAAATGTTACACGTTCAACTCTGGTCTGGATGGAAACCCCTTGTTGACGACTTTAAAAGGTGGAACAGGAAATGGGCTGGAAATCATGCTGGACATTCAACAGGATGAGTACTTACCGGTTTGGGGTGACACAGGTAATCAATACATTAAAAAAGACATCAGTGATGGTGTTTCTCATAATTTATTTACTGTTGAAGAGCCACCATTTCATTCATATTACTAAAGTGTTTCTTCAATAATTTTATCAATTCAGAAGTTTCAGACAGAAAGTTAAATAATATCCAAACATGATGTTTTAAATGAAACCTTATGACAATATGCATCACATAGGCTTGAAATGCTGCCACATTTTAAATAAGATAAAAACAGTGCAGGTTTCTTGGTTCAATTATGTTCCAAAAAGTAATATTTCAAAAAGACAAGATACATCATATCTGAAGGAACTGATATGCAGCATTGCACATTAGCATAATTCACCCATAAGTGGCCGCCCCAAAATGATTTCACTTGTGGTAGAACATTTGAATGTGGAGATAACAACGTTAGGTCTTTTTTTTGGTCGTTTTTACTGAGTACACCTGCCCCATTACTGCTGCGTCAGACGCCTCGTTCATTTTCTGTGGCATGCTGCAATTTTTCAACATAATCATGCACAGAAAATAAATACGAAACAAAGAGTAACGAGTATCAAAGTGCAGTTTAATCAACTGTAGATGACATGCGGTCAGTGTTCAGAATTGATGTACTTGTATGCTAGTGAAGATTACGTATTTATAATCTATTAATCTTAGTCATTTTAATGGCTCTAGAGGAGACTTTTTATATTCAGAGGCAGTGACAAAACATGGATTGGCATTCTGGATAAAGTAATTATAAAGTTCATTATAAAGTCATTATATATATGCCTCGAGGCGGTAGACATCAAATCTCCCGCTCTGTAAATAATCTTGTTTAATGTCTCCCCGCAGACGAAACCTCGTACGAGGCGGGCATCAAAGTTCAGATCCACAGCCAGGACGAGCCGCCCTTCATAGATCAGCTGGGATTTGGTGTGGCCCCTGGTTTTCAAACTTTTGTGTCTTGTCAGCAACAACTGGTACATAATGCTACACATATCACATTTATCACATGTCCTTATATCAGCTGCCCTACTTACTCTCCATCTACACCATCATCTCTATAAACCTGGAGAAAAACAGACTTTTTAAATTTGCACAAAATATTAAGCAACACAAATGTTTTTAATATTGATAATAATAATAAATGTGACCCTGAACCACAAAACCAGTCTTAAGTCGCTGGAGTATATTTGTAGCAATAGCCAAAAATTCATTGCATGGGTCAAAATTATTGATTTTTCTTTTATGCCAAGATCATGATCATGTTCCATGAAGATATTTTGTAAATTTCCTACTGTATATATAGTAAAACTTAATTTTTGATTAGTAATATGCATTGCTAAGAACTTCATTTGGACAACTTTAAAGGCAATTTTCTCAATATTTTGATTTTTTTGCACCCTCAGATTCCAGATTTTCAAATAGTTGTATCTCAGCAAAATATTGTCCTATCCTAACAAACCATACATCAATGGAAAGCTTATTTATTCAACTTTCAGATAATGTATAAATCTCAATTTCGAAAAATTGACCCTTATGACTGGTTTTGTGGTCCAGGGTCACAAATGTATGCAACTTGTATGCATACAAACTTCTGTGCAGTAAAGTAACAGTGGAGATTTAATAATAATGGATATTGATAATAATTGCATTGTTTAAATGCTTTAAAAGGTGCATTTAAAATGTATTAATTTACTATTTTTTTATTTTATTTAGTTAGGTTTTAAACACATTTTAAAACACAAAATATAAATGTCTACTTTTTGTTAAATATGTAAACAACTTTTAAATATGTCTTAATTTGTGCATTTAAAAAGTGATTTATCTATTTTTATTTGTGAATTACAAGGTGCATTAATTATTATTTATTAATCGATTGTTTTAAGTAATATTTGTGCATTTAAAAGTGATTTATTCATTTCTATTTTGTATTTGTGAATTACAAGGTGCATTTCAAAATTATTTATTAATTTAATTTCTCAAGGTAATTTTTTTATTTAAAAATTAAATTAAATTAAATAGACATTTAAAACTCATTTCATTCAACTACATTTTAAATGTCTTGTTTTAGTTAAACAATATTCATTTGTTATTTAAATACTATTTATCTTATTTAAATATATTAAAGAAAATGTTTAAAAAAAATATATATGTCTGTTAATTTAAAAATGATTTCCATTTTTAGTTTTGAATTATTAAATTGATTCATTAATATTTCATTTTTAAATGTTACTCCTAGTCCTCCACAGTGTTTCTGTTATTGAGCCATGCAAGCAGTGTTTATTTTTATGCATGGTTGTGTGCACTGAGGTCATGTGACTCCACATGAGTATCTAATTCAGTTTCTAGGGAGCACTAATTGGCAGGAGGTCAGGAAAAGCGCTCGTTTACAGGCTTCAGTGGATCAAAGGCAAAAGCAGCTCTCACGGCCAAGATCCATATGTCTTCATTAATCGACCCTTAGCAATAGATCAATTAGCTGGAATAACCAAGTGCTAAAGGCAACTGCGCACTCCTAATCTTGCTTTCAATTTACTGACCTACATTTTCTACTTCCTCTTCATTTTTAACTTCAAAGCACTCTGAATCCATCATAAACTCTCTATTACATGACGCTTTTTGCAGGCGACTTCAAAAAGTGACTTAATTTAATGGGAGGATTATCTTCTCTACTGGTGCCATTAGATATGCAAAATGATATAAAATCCAATTATATTTTTATAAGATTCTTATTAAAAGGCTCTTAAATTTAATAAGAAGAGAATAATATAATTTTAATGACTTAAGAAATGAGCAGCAATGTTGCTTCCAGTAACTGAACTGTTCCTAAGCCCCGCCCTAAAAACGTTACTGACCAGTCCTGCCTTAGCAACTGTTAGTCAATTAGTCAAGCTTTTTTGTTCTTTTCTAGTGGATCTGTGTTTGTATCTTTATTTTGGAAATTATCCCAAAAAAAAAATACTCATTTGCATATTGATTAAGGTCATTGCAGTGTCTTTAGTAACTAAGAGTTTAATCACTTTCAAATGAGGCTTTTCCCTTTTCATGATTTGATTTATTAATTTATTATTCAGTTGTTTTATTTAGCTATGTTTTACAGTTTTAAAGGTCTATTTATTTTTCAATTTAAAAAATATTTATTTATTGTATCATTTAATTGAACTACATAAATTGTTTTAAATGTCTGTTTATATATATAAATTGTTTATTTTTTTAAAAAACATTTTTAAATAAATAGCACTTGACTCATTGAAAAATGGCAGATAAAAATGTTGCACGCACACACACACACACACACACACACACACACATGTGTGTGTATATATATATATATATATATAAAGAAACAGCATTCATTTCTTGTTTAGCAACAGTAACCAAGCGAAGAGTTCATATCTCTGGTTTTCTTCAGGTTTCACTGATTTCCATCATGTTCTTTCTATGAAATTTTGCATTCAAAACTCACATGCTTTTCTAGATTGTGAAAAGTGGCTGATTGCAGTGTGGGTTTTATTATATTCAGCTGATGTCCTCTGCTGTTAGTCCTTTGATTGCTGTGCTCTTTGGCTCGGCTTAGTGTGTTTTGATTTGTTATTGAACAGCTTTATCCTGCCACTAATGAATAAAACTTTATGTTCTAGCTCCAGTATCTTCCTCCGCCGTGGGGCGACTGCAGATCCGAACCGATGGACTCTGAATACTTCTCCACCTACAGCATCACGGCCTGTCGCATCGACTGTGAGACCCGCTACCTGCTCGAAAACTGCAACTGCAGAATGGTGCACATGCCAGGTGTGGAGGCAACACATTACCAGACAGACCAGACCTTTACTGCTTTAGCATTTAAACTGTAATTCACAGTAGAATTAAGCAAGAAGCTTATATTTTGAATAGATTGCAAAAAATAGTGCATTTTCATTTCAATGCCCATATTAACAACTTTTATTTTCTTTGATACATTTTTGAATGTGCAGATTTCTTAACTTTTTTTATTATTTTATTTTATTTCTGAAATAGTTTTTTTCTTTGGCAATTGTTTGGATGTGGAGTTTTTTTTTAATTAATTTTTTTTTTTTTATCTCTCCACACGCTTGCTTATTCACGCCTACAGAATTTTATTGTAATTTTAACAGGTTTAACTTTTTTCTTTGAAAGTAGTTTGGAATGCTGAGTTTTATTGTATTATTTTTACAGATGATTAGCAATTTAAACAACATTTTGTCTTTTTTTTTTGCTTTCTATCACAGGCACCTCTACCGTCTGCACACCCGAACAGTACAAAGACTGCGCTGATCCAGCTTTAGGTAAGAGGACGTCAGGATTGATTTGTGTATTTTCATAATGCTATGTATTTCTATCACTGAAACGATGACGTCATCAGCCCACGTCTCGCCGCTAGTCAGACACCGCTACATCACTTAACAGCAACAAAAACATGAACAAACACTGAACGATTGTCTTTTTATTAACTAACATTAACACAGATTAATAAAGGTATTGTTCCATGTTCGTTTGTATACCGCGCGCAATATTTATGCGCATAGTCCAAGTCTTCTTCTCTGTTTTTAGTGTATCTCTGTGGCAGAATTACAGCGCCACACACTGGTCTGGCATGTATACTACATCGCTTTGTGTCGGTTTCGTGGTTTCGTGTGGACGCAGATATTTCTTGAGACGAGGGGAAAAAAAGATTGGATAGGGAAAGCTTTGGCTTCGTGTGGACGTAGCCTAAATAATGATTAAAGTCATGTCAGACTTTTGCAGATTTTATATGATGATGTAATTAAAATATGCTTATGCTAATTTTCTTTTTAATAATAGTAATAATAATAAAAACAACAATACTTGACAGATTTTCTAGTGGAGAAGGACAATGATTACTGCGTTTGCGAAACGCCGTGCAACATGACTCGATACGGTAAAGAGCTGTCCATGGTGAAAATACCCAGCAAGGCTTCTGCGAAATATCTCGCCAAGAAGTTCAACAAAACTGAACAGTATATTGCGTGAGTTTACATTTTAATTTGTTAACTACACATTGAATTCGATTTGATTTATTGTGTTGTTTTTATTCATGTCCTGGAAAGTTAATCTGAACAGCCATTCATTGCATTTAATCTTACAGGGACAACATATTGGTGCTGGATATCTTTTTTGAGGCTCTGAACTATGAGAAAATTGAACAAAAGAAAGCATATGAAGTGGCTGGATTACTTGGTAAGTGCGCGGAAAATTCACAAATTCTACACCAATATGGAAAATAGAGTTGCCTTTTAATATTTCATTTTTTATTATATTATATATTCTTTCAGGTGACATTGGTGGTCAGATGGGTCTGTTTATAGGAGCCAGTATCTTGACAATATTGGAGATATTCGATTATTTGTATGAGGTCTGTTGCGTTCTAGCTTGTCTTATTTGTCCTTTTCTTTTGCTGTAATGTGCTCATGGTTACAAATAATTTGCTGACAGTATATTTTATAAATGTTGCACCATTTTTCAGGTTTTTAAGGACAAAGTGCTGGGACATTTTCTACGTAAGAGACGGCCACATCGCAGCGCTAGTGACAATCTGGTAATTGTGCTTCCTGTGTTGCTCTGCATGCGCAAAAAAGACTGTCATTGTGATGACACAGAAATGTTTTTTGCTTGTTTGTTGTTGGGTGTGCTGATATTTTTATCATTTCTGTTTGTGTGGATTGTCCTCTTGAATGCTGCATGCATCTACTTGCCTTTTGTCTTTGGCTCAAATTCTGGGAAATGATTGATGAAGATGGCCTTTCCACAAAAGACATCGGCTCATCTTTGAATAAGGACAAATGTCAAAACCAGAAATGGGGAAGTTTTAGAAATGTTAAGCATGTTCACTGCCCTTCGCTTGTGACAAACCTTGTATGCGATTTAGATCAAATTAGCAGATGATCTGTGCTCTTCAGAAAATCAATTAGTTCTTCTGAGTGAAACTCATGTCACCTAATTAATATGCACAGCCCAGCTAATAAGGTTTATATAAGTTTTCTCTCTGTCCTTCAGATCATGCCTATGGCCTTGCAGGCTATACATTGGTTGTATTCAATACTTTATTTTAATTTTGGAACTTTTTATTTATTTTATATAAAAAAGTCGACAGTAAATTAGGGATGAGAAAGGACTGGGATTGAGACTTATCGCTTGTGATCTGTCAGTGAAGTAGTGTTTATTTTATTTATTTACTTCAAAATGTTTTATTTATTTAGTTAGTTAGGAAGTTGGAAGTTAATTACGTTCTTGAGCACCAAGAACATTCTGGTTTCAAGATTTCTTGTCCTCACTGCCTGGATTATAACACTGATGAAGTGAAGTTTCTTACCACGGCAGGATAATATTTCATCCAAGGAGCCTTTTTTTCCATGTTCAGATCAACGTTTTTACAAAAACATTACAAATGTCATCATTTACTCATCCTCATGTCATTCCAAACCTGTTTGACTTTCTTTATTCCTTCCATGGAACACAAAAGAAGATGTTCTGTGTTCTTTTGCATAAAGCCCAAGCATATAATAATCAGAGGCTGTCAGTCAAGCTCTTATAAAGGACAACAATTCACCTAAAAGCACTACTATTGTGACTTCTGAAGGACTCTTTATGGTGATTTTAGGTTGTTTTTGAAACTTGACAGCCGTGTTGCTGTTGTATGATAAAGAACTGTTGCAGAAGTTGAGTAAATGATGACCGAATGTTAATTTCTATACAAATTGCAGTATGACAGAATATTGAAATAGTGTACCACAACATCAGCGTCATTTACCATTATCATATCATAGCAGACAAAACAATCCATCATCTACCCCTTCCCAGCATGCACCAGGACATCACTGATCAAACATTAAAATACACTAACATGCCTTTAGAATTAACATAACGAAATTAGTTTAGGTAAGTTTGGTATTCAAAATGTTTACCACTATAAAGTATGCTCATGATTTTTAAATCGTAGTTCATGGCAGGTGCTGTTTTATATTATGTTTTGAAGTTATTAGCATCCATTAAAATAATTTGATCAAATGATTAACTTTAAATAATATATGTAAAATGCATATTTTAGAGAAACAACATGATTTTAAACGGTTGGGCCATTGCTTTTTCAGCGCTGTATTATTTTGTCATAAATCTGGTGAAGGTCAATTCATTTTCAAATCAAATGAAAAATATTTAAAATATATTTTTATATAAATGTAATTACATATGTTAAAATATATTTAATTAGTAAATATATTTATTTAATGAGAGATATTTAGTTTCATATTTACAATACAGTAAGTTGGAAGTGAATTGGCCTCAGCCTGGGTTTGGTCATCTTCATCTCTTTCCATCATGTTTATTCCAGGATTTCCCCGAGAATCCCACCAGCCCTGGTGTCACGCCTAACCATGTCCCCAGGTAGCGCCGCCATTAATAATATTCCAGAAGCATTTCATTGTGTCCTTGCATTATTCACGCCATTTAGAGTCTCTTCCCTTCGTGACATTTAATGTCAGTAGTTCTAGACATGCACAAATGTCATTGTTACGCATTCTAAGATCCCTTTTTCAAAACCCTGTAGCTTTCCAGATGGAGATGATGTTTTGCAGAAGTTCAGGTAAAACGACACCTGTAGCTTTCACTTGCTTTTATTCTCAGTTTTTTCTTTCTTTCTGTTTTCCTCCCAACATGTTTTGTCTCTTTCTCCCAAAAATGTTGCTGTTTTACATCAAATATATATATTTTTTGTATCGTAATTACACTACTGTTCAAAAGTCTGGGGTCAGTGAAATTACATATGAAGAGTTCATTTGCAAAAACCGATAAACGCCCCTTTCAAAAAAAAAAAACGAGCTGATTGCCGTGCATTATTCTCCACATATAGCGCGATCTGAACCCTAAACACGTTTTGTCAAAAAAGCTGGTTTTTTTATTGATATTACTTGGAATGCACAATAAATAAAACGTGATTTCTGAAAAAAAATAAAATAAAATGGAGTTATCGGTTTTTGCAAATGAACTCTTCATACATATTACAATTATATGTAAAATATAAAAATAAAATATATAATTAATACATTAAATTGGTCAAAAGTGACTGTAAAGACATTTACATTGTTACAAATATATTTGTTTTCTTTAAATTTCTATTTATCAAAAAATCCTGAAAAAAAAATCATCTCAGTTTCCACAAAAATATTAAGCAGCACAACTGTTGTCAACATTGATAATAAAAATAAATGTTTCTTGAGCAGTAAATGAGCATAGAATGATATTCTGAAGGATCTTGTGACACTGAAGACTGGGGCCAGTTGCATAAACTTAGCCACCAAGTTAAGACTGTGTCTTAAGAACTAGTGTGACCAACTAGCAGTTGCCAAGGGGAAATCAGTCTTACTTTTCCAATACAAATAAGACCAATCTACCTTTTCATAACTGAATTTAAAAAGTTATGACCAGTCTTGAAGAAAAAAAATGAGATGACTAACTTTTTAAGACTAGTCTAAACAGTTTATGCAACCGGCCCCTGGAGTAATGCTGCTGAAAATTCAGCTTTGCATCACAGGAATAATTTTCATCTTACAATATATTCAAATAGAAAACATTTATTTTAAATAGTAATATTTTTTTCACAATTTTACTGTTTATGCTGTATTTTTGATCAAATAAATGCAGCCTTGGTGAGCAAAAGAGACTTGTTTCAAAAACATATAAAAATAAAATCTTACCATCTCCAAATTTTTGAACAGTATTGTGTATGTATATATGGTCTGCAAAAACGATTAGCAAAAATGTTTGAAACCTCATCTTAAAAAACGGGAAAAAAAGCGACAGTATGTTTTTAAGTTAAGGTTGCTTAGTGGAAATATGTGCACGTTAATACTGAATTTCTCAGGCTTATATATCATTAACAACGGCAAACGTTTCCAGCCTAGTAAAGATATGGTCTGGAGACAGGAAGTAGTTGTAAGTTTGTACACTGGTTGTACACTGATAAGTTAAGAACTATATTTGGTACGTTTTTGCCTGGTAGACGATGAAATGATTCCTGCTGACAAAGACAAAGACTTCTGGTTCTCCGTTTTATGTATTCTATAGTGACGACACCAGGGCATCATTATTATATGAGCAACATGCTGTATGTCATATGGAAAGGTTTGTCTAAGTGAAAGGTCAAGATTATATTTGGTTGAAGCTTGTGCTATTTTGAAGGACTCGATGATGTCTGATAGACAGATGAATGATGAAACAAGGTGGAAATGTGATGGAAAAGGACGTCTTATAAGAGAAAGTTCCCATTTATAACGCTCTTGCTTTGAATACGGCTCATTGCATGAATTTTTAACATACCCACATGAAATAAATTTGTGTATAGTCATTATGTATTAGACTGTAATCCAAGAACTAATCTGAATATTTTAGTGATAAACAAAGCAATGTTAAGATGATATAGGAAATGCTGAGCGAAGAGGAGACAAATGTCCCAGAGCTGCAACTTTATTGGTTTATTTCAGACAGAGCAATTATTTTCACCCAACGACACCTTTCATAAGTCTGTCTACAAGACTCGGCTTATGAAATATGAAAAACAAGCCTACTTGCCAGAGGAATTACTGCTACTCTGTTTCTTTGTGAAACTGCTGTTTTTATATTTTTTATCATATTATTTTTAGCAGTCGAAATCCAGGGTATTGCCGTTTCAAAACAAGTGAAACCCTATTTTTAGCATATGTGATATGCTGTTAATTACCACAGATAATTTCAGTTCATCCTTCATTTCATTAAAACAAGCACAAATTACATGCACAATGGTGCACTTACAGTGAAAGACTATGCAAGAAATTACACCTAGATAAACATTAAATTAAAAATATATATTTTTTATACAAATACACAAGCTGAATATTTAATTTTATTATTATTATTTTTACAAATTGAAGAGCCAGTTAAAATTGTGGTAACATGAGACTAGTGTGTAAAATCACTCACTAACTCAAATATACAGCTTATATAAAGCACATTTTTATACATATTATAATTAATTTAAGTGCTTTAACAAATATACAAGCTGCATTTAATTAATTTAATTAAATTTTTTATATACAATATACAAGCTGTATTTCTTTTATTTTATTTCTTGTCTTTGCAAACTGAAGAACTAGTTACATTTATTATGTGGTAATCAACAGGAAAATACCTATATATATATATATATATATATATATATATATATATACGTGCTTCTCTGTCAATATGGGGTGCTGTGTGTACATTAATGAGGAAAAAAAATTAACTTAAATGATTTTAGCAAATGGCTGCAATATAACAAAGAGTGAAAAATTTAAGGGGGTCTGAATACTTTCCGTACCCACTGTATATACCTCAAGAAATGTATAAAAATTTACTATACAAATAAATTACTAACTTAAAGGGATAGTTCACCCAAAAATGAAAATTTGATGTTTATCTGCTTACCCCCAGGGCATCCAAGATGTAGGTTACTTTGTTTCTTCAGTAGAACACAAACGATTCGGTTTCAACTCAAACCGTTGCAGTCAATCAGTCTTACAATGGAAGTCAATGGGCTCCACGGCTTTGAGAGTCAAAAAACATACACAAACAAAACCAAATTAAACCCTGCGGCTCGTGACGATACATTGAGGTCTTAAGACACGAAACGATCGGTCTGTGCAAGAAACTGAACAGTATTTAGATCATTTTCTTACCTCTGATCCACCGCAATGTCTGAGCGCGTTCACAACATCTGACGCGTGTACGTGCTCTGGCATAGTAGACATAGATATATATATAAGTAGATGTCTCATTAGTTACTGTTTCTATGGGCCGCGATATGTTCCAAAATGGCAGACACGTCAACGTATCCGGAGCGTTCGAATAGGGCATCTATATATATCTATGATAGTAGACGCATGTGCGGAAGCGATCTGTCGCGTGTATACGTCACTCATTACTTACACAGTGCAGAGAGATTGCAGACGTGTTCACTGGCACATCAGTGTATCGTCACGAGCCGCAGGGTTTAATTTGGGTTTGTGTCTGTGTATGTTTTTTTACTCTCAAAGCCGTGGAGCCCATTGACTGCCATTATATGACTGACAGACTGCAACGGTTTGAGTTAAAAATCTTCGTTTGTGTTCTACTGAAGAAACCAAAGTCACCTACATATTGGATGCCCTGGGGGTGAGCAGATAAACATCAAACTTTCATTTTTGGGTGAACTATCCCTTTAACAGTTTATATTTATGTATTAAATGTAACATGACATTACTATAAATTTAATGGGGAAGGTAAATCCAGAGATTTATTCTGTTTAGCCTGAAAGGCTAAAATGGCTTCCATTGTTTCATTGTGATGAGGCCTGTGTCCAGTAACATGGTGTCATCACAGGTTTACACACAATGAGTACGACACGCACACACACAGTTCACTGGAATGACACTGAATTATTTCTATGCATCCTGCTGAGTTGTGATTGCAAGAGTTCGCTGGTAGATTTCCAGAGCTATAGAAACAAAACTAAGAAAACTTCTTCCTTCCCCACTCCCCTCCATCCATACCCCTTTATCCATGAATTCTTCCTCCTTTTTATCCAATTTGACATGCATTCTTCATTATTGACGTTCTGTTTGCTGCCACGTTTTATTCACATCCCTTGTTTGTTTCACTCCCATACTTATTTCCATTGTTATAAATGGGTGTCACTGACATGAATTCCTCTCAACCCCTCATCTGATCTTCTCGTATCCCTCCCACCCCTCGAAATCTTCCGTTTCCTCTCTTTCAGAGCACATGCGACACACTCCGGAGTCACTCGGACAGTCTCGGATACGCGCCGAACGTGCTACCTAGTCACCCGGCTATAGGCAACTTCGAGGAATTCGCTTGTTGATGACACAGGCGACAGGACCCCGGCGGGACGGTTTAGGATATGACGGAAAACTGTGAAGTATATATCGGATAGACTCCAAAAGAAGTGTAAGTCCACGAAAATGTACATGTTAAATAGTTAAAAAACAAAACAAAACAAAAAACACCTGAATAGAATCGATATATCATCATCAAGTACAAATAGGCAACACTTCCAAAACAAAACTCAGGTTTTATTAACATCACAGCCACTGTTTGTTTGACATTGTGGAAAATTTCATGCCATTTCTTTTCGGACGATTTCAGACGTACAAATACTGTGACGGTATTACATCCCAGAGAGTATTTTTTCTCTGTGCTTTTCTGAATCCTGTACGAACACTGTGGGCCTAATTTGATCAAGCCGCCTTAAACAAATCTGAAAAAGAAAGCATTTTAATATTGCACAAAAATTGTTATAGATACAGTCGGTTTGGCCATGGTTTAAATCTATTTTGGCACTTTTTTTGTACAATATAATCGTGTGAGCTTTAACCGCGGTTTGACTGAATTCAGCCCTGCATATAGTACTCAAAAATGTGTAATCATTCCGAATGTTTGTCTCTGTTCATATTTTGTGTATATAAGTGCAATAATATGCATAATGTGTTAATGAATACCGTATATTACCTTCAAGTCTTAATTATTAGCTGTCAGGTAAACAGAAGGAACGAGATGCTTTCGGTACAACCTGAGTTACCAGCAATTTGCTTTTCATGCCGTTTTATTTCGACACACTAATGTTACTCTATTTATTTCGACTTCCATCCACTTGGCAGTGATGAGATGGGATGTTATTATTTAGCTTGATGAATGATGCATTTTATGTGTAATGTTCATATGAAAGCTTCACTTATCCCACATGTGAATCCATTCATCAGATTGTTTCCTCCGGGAGTTAATTCATTACCTTAAGTGGCAAAGACTGAATGCGATGTGTTGACGTGAAAATCAAATCATCAGTCGCTGAAAAGCTCTTGACGAATTACATGCTTGTATTAATTATAATGAACATAAAAAATAGATCACAGTTCCACATCCACTAGGAAATATTCAATTATTTTAGATGATACAGTTGAAAAGCTTGACACATTACTCGAAAACGGTTTGATTTTGATTCTTTTATGTTTTGGGGGGTTCTACCTAGAAGTTACAGGTGTCTTCCTTTTTCTTGCATGAACTGCTCATATATACATGTTTATATATATAGCCCAAAAAGTATCTGGACACTTAAAGTAATAGTTCACCCAAAATGAAAATTTGCTGAAACTGTACCCACCCTCAGGTCATCCAAGATGCAGATGAGTTTGTTTCTTCATCAGAACAGATTTGGAGAAATGTAGCATTACATCACTTGCTCACTAATGGATCCTCTGCAGTGAATGGGTGCCGTCAGAATGAGAGTCCAAAAAGCTGATAAAAAGCTTCCAGCCAAAATATGAGTACTCTATTCATAATATTGCTTTCTCCAGTGAAAAAGTTGCCTGTCTGAATCAGGAGAGAAATATGCACAGATCAAGCACTGATTACAAGTGAAAACAGTCCAAAAACAGTCTGAACAAATATGTTGGTGAGACAACAGGAGATGGACTTTTTTCACTGGAGGAAGTGTTAATATGGATTATGGACTCGTATTTTGGCCAGAAGCGATGGTTTAAAATTAAAACATCTTTATGATGGATTTGTTTCTTACAAGCATGCAGCTTTTCACTTAACGAGATGTTAATGGATGGACTGGAGTGGTGTGGGTTACTTGTGGATTATTGTGATGTTTTTATCAGCTGTTTGGACTCTCATTCTGACGGCACCCATTCACTGCAGAGGATCCATTGCTGAGCAAGTGATGTAATGCTATTTCTCCAAATCTGTTCTGATGAAGAAACAAACTCATCTGCATCTTGGATGGCAAATTTTAATTTCTGAGCGAACTGTTCCTTTAAAAAAATGTCTGAAAGTCATTGCATAAGATAAAAATTATCAAACCAAGTGGCATTTATGTTAAATAAATATAGCACAAGCACACTTTCAAAGCAAAACTTTTCACAAAATCAAGTTGTTAGGGGTTCAATGGTAAAACAATAGATATACTGTGCAAAATTAAGACAAAAGGTATTTCATATCTTAATGGATCATGTTCATCATTCGTGTGATGATCTAAAATACCTCAGGCCCGTTGAAAAATGGCTTGTAAAAATCTATTTAGTTTTAATGCAATGACATTTTTGAGTGTCCAAGTACGTTTTGGGGCGCTTCAGCTTCACTACAGTACATTGCAATATGGTAAAAGGCAAGATATCATCTTCCATGTTTTCTGCACTCAGCTACAATGTATTATTGTATTGTTTTATATAAACTACAATGGGATTTCTAGTACAGGTGTCACAATTTTAAAACCGAGAGTTGTGACATGTAAATGATCCAGTATAATAAACAATACATTTAACCATCTCTTAACATGTTGTCTGTCTGTTGATTCTGTATGTAATCCTGGGGGCTGTTTCATAAAACAAGTTTACCAAACAAGCTAGGCTTATTTCAGTTAGTCGGACTTATTTTGAACCAAATTAATTGACAATTAGTCAGGCTAACTGAAATAAACCTGGCTTATTTGGTAAACTTGTTTTATGAAACAGGCCCCAGTGCTGCTTTTGTCCGTTTATATGTTGATGTTTTGTTGTCCTAGTCATGTGCCTGACAGTGTTGTTATTAACTAAAACTATTAAAAAATTGTTTTTGGTAATTGGAATAAAGCTCAAATAAATATAAATATATATATATATATATATATATATATATATATATACCAATGAAGAAAGCTTATAACAAAATTACTACAATAAAATTAAAACTGATAATATAGCAATAAATGCTAATTAAAAATATTAAATACTACAGTTGTATACAAGTAATACTAGAACAACACAGGTGCTTGCAAAGATAAGCCAAGACAGCAAATCCCGGTTGGTATGGTTTATTTTTTGATAGTGTTATTTCGATCAGACAAAAAAAAAAAAAAAGTCAAAATCCAACAAAAGGCGATAAATATCGAAACAAATTAAATATATATAGCACCTGGCACAGTCCGACCCCAGACTGTTTAAACAGAACATTAAGATAACAGAGCTATAAAACAATGTGTTTCACTTACGCAGTTCAGTCTTGTGTGGAAAAACCCTCCAATCCTGTAACACTGTTAACTGCACGCCTGCAACTACATCCTGATGGCGTTCGTTCAATAATGTCCCACACAAATAAATACTGTACATACACGGTCTTAAGGTACATCAGGAGGTATTTCAGTGGGTCTGATATGGATGCCGTTATCTTTATTAACTACGCTTGAAGCTACTCTCGAACTGCAGTATTTCAAGTAGATGATATCTGAACGCTTCTGACACGGTCTGGCCACAGGAAGTTCAGTGTTTTACATGAATTGTGAGTATATCTCTGACCAGAGTGTCATATACCATGTGTAAACTGTCAAAAGCCCTTAGGCTCTATATATTACAGAGACAAACCTTCCTACGCTTTGAGAGAGCACATTAGTTCAAATCTATTTTGTTCTAGATAACGGCAGGTTCTAGTTTGAAACCTGACTGAACTCTTACCGCAGGCACAGCACAAAAATCACACCCTTCAGTTTTGGGTCGATACAGACTTGGACACATGACATTAACAGCTTAAACTGATGAATTCTGGGATATGACTTGAAAGGTCAGATGTGTAATATTTAATTCAAAACGCTGGAAGAGACTGTTATCGGTTGGGTACAGAGTACAAATCCTAAACCAACCTCAAAAACACGACACTAACACCGTCAAACTGCTTTTAACCTTGAATAGTGTTTCATTTGAACTTTTTAAGTGGTTAAATAATGTGCTAATCTGCTGCTTACCAGCTGAACAAGCTGTGAACTGGGACTAATGTCTGGCTTTTAAAAAAATGCTTTGATTTTAATAATTTACTCTGTTTTTCCACATTAACTCTTCAGTTTGATAGTTAATCATTCTTATAGCTTTAGCCTCATTTAAATAACAAAAATCCTTTAATGCAGTCATATGGTCGTCTAAGATGTTTTAATATGATTAAAACTAGCTACATGTTGCTGTAGATGAAATGTTACTTTTTAGACAAACCGCAAAAATAAGACTTCATTTTTATTTAGTTTAAGAACTTGTGCGTTCCCCTGCAAATCAAAAGCTTTTTGGTAAAGCAAGATGAATTGTATTGCTAAAATCTTTTTTTTTTTCCTTGTTTAAATTTTCATTTTTTAAATTTCAGGTTAAGAGGTTATTGTTAAGATTTGTCAAAACATTTGCAAATGCAAATTACTTTTAATTTAAATTCAATTTTTCATTAAGCAAAAATCCTTTAGTCTATTTATGTTGTCTTTAAAGAAACAAAAAATCATGTTTTATAATTTTGAGAAATATTTTTTTTTTCTCACGAGGCAACTGGTATGATTTTACATTCAGTGATATTTTCTGTCCGCTGGTTCTGTAACGCAAAAGTGAAACTAGCAATAATACGATAAAAGGATGTTTTCATCCTTCAAAACCGAGGCAGCGCTTCAAAAGTAAATACTCCCTGGCTCGCCTTTGAATCAGAGAGGCGGAAAACGTAACTTGCTCGAACCCAAAAAAAACAAACGTTGCATGAAAGAAAATGCAATGGAAATAAATACTGTAAAACAAGTGTCACCCCTGTTGTGTCATAAACAAAACAAAAACACACACTCCAACACAAACACACAGCAGTCTGAAATGTAAATGTAAGTGACGTGACGAGGGAGGGGAAGTGGCAGACATACTCTTGAGGTCCGTTACGTCACAGTTCCTCTAAACTGGAAGATGGTGCGTCCAGAGAACCGAACGGCTCCGACGGGCTCCTTGAACGACATGCTTGGTGTGGCGTCCCAACATGCTTGATCAAAGGGTTTCAAACCAAAGTAAGGCCACAGCTACCAGAAATGAACAAAAACTGCAAACCAGAAAGAGAAAGATAATGTTAAAATACTTAAGCCATTTTGCATTGAAACACTAATCAGATCTTCATATGTAGTGATATTAACTAGTTTGAGTCCAAATTGAATCCTATTTTGTCCTGTGTTTGATTGGTTGAAGTGACGTGGTGAAACGCACTGTACAGGTTGAAGGCACTTCAGCTGCTCCCTCTGCTGGTCTGATCCGGCACAGGGTTGGTGTTTATCTCCTCCTCTTCGCCCTGCTCCTCCTCTTCCTCTTCCTCTTCAGCCCAGCCGCCCAAGCGGCCAGAAGTGGGTGGCACCAAGGTGACTGTCTGTGCAAACTGTATCTGAGGACCTTGAGCTGAAAGAAAGAAGTGCCTTCAGATCCTTTTACATAATTTTACCATGATTGACCAGGTATGCAAAATGAGTCATTAACCCAAAGATTCAAATTTTGATGTCTGGGTCTGTCTGCAGCTAATTCTGGTCAAGAAACACTCGCTCATGCGAAGGTCCGACTGGTCAAT